ATTGCATGGTAAATCATTACGTTTCGGTTGTAGTACATGTACTTTCTTGTTGTGTCCTGGACAACGAAGTCACGGGCACTCTGTTCTACTGGGTACACTTTGGAGAGTTTCGCTGGAAATACTTCTACCCTTGTTGTCACTTGTTTTGTGGACATCCACGTAGTGACGTCATAATGCCAAAATGCCATATCTTTGGCCTTTCCCCCCATCAAAATGTATGGGATTCGGAGTTACGGATATTTCATAGTTACGGGAACGGAAGTGCCTGGTCCAGGATCGGCCGGATAAACGAGGTATCAGACAGTGTATGCTGTGCTATGTAACTAAGTGCTAGTACATGACGATGATGAGGATGATGATGATGATCACAAAGGCACACAATGAAAACCTTGGGCAAATTCCGTTGTAACTATTACTTAGAGTTTCATGCCTGAACCGATCATCAGACAACGATAGTGGTACTATAGGACATTATAGGAGGCAGCGCTGGTACATGTACATGTACATGTACATGTACATGTATATCTAAGTGGAGAGAGGTGTGATAATAATTATGATAGCGAGAGGAGTAATCGCGTGAATGTATGCAGATGATGATGATCTTGAAGACAGCACACACATACACACACATGCGCACACACACACACACACACACACACACCTTGACCTTGACCTTTGACGCCCATCGCCGGAGGCGATGATAGCAATGCTACGGCAGAAGCCATAGCAACTTGTGCTGGGATTACACCATTCAACAGCTTGCAAGGCTGTAGAATTGACCGTCACTATTCAGCACACACACACATACACACACTACACACACTACACACACTACTGTCTTCAGAACAGGGTTCTTGACCATCTGTTGCCTGGCGTTTTCCTCAAAATGTGCAATCGATCAATAGATCAAGCAAGGCCAAGGCCTTTAGCGACAGCATGACGATTATTGTCTACGTGTATTTCAAAATACCTCAGTCTAAAGATGACATGGGCCAGCTGGTCAGTGGTTTGTGCCATGACAGTGCTCGCCCTCATAGACACGCTATGTGCCACGGACACGTGATTCTCAGCAGGGGTTGGTTGCCAGCAATCTAATTATAATGTACTGTTTGGATATACATGTACATGTACATGTACATGCCATAGTGGCTGGTCCCGACTCGCACGTGTCACTGCGGCTGCCTGGTATGGAATGGTGCGTTACCAAAATGAGGTGGACTCACACGAAAATGCAAATCGTGCGAGGACACACTGTTCGCAGCGTTTAATACTCAAATAAAAATACATCACGTGTATGAGAGAGAAAGAGAGAGAGAGAGAGAGAGAGAGAGAAAGAGAGAGTGAGAGAGAGAGAGAGAAAGAGAGAGAGAGAGAGAGAGAGAGAGAGAGAGAGAGAGAGAGAGAGAGTGAGAGAGAGAGAGAGAGAGAGAGAGAGAGAGAGAGTTTGATGGAAAGAGAGGGATTTTATTACTACTATTCTCCAGGCCAAAGAAATCCGACGCGAAAGCAGAAAGCAGTAGGCCCCCTCTCTCTCTACCCCCCCCCCCCCTCTCCCTCTAGTTCTAGCCATTGGCGGATACATGTATGCTCGAAAAATTGGAAATGTCTGCTCGAAAAGCAGTGAGATTGGCAGACTATAATTATCAACCATAATATTGTATATCATGGCAATCACTTCCTTTCTCCATTTCTTTACCCGCATACAACCTACCAGCGATAGTGTCTAACCCTGCCAATGTTTCTGGCGTCATTTTCCGCCAAGGACTACCTGGCTAGCCGGCTCAAGGATGCGTTTTGGGAACGTACATGTGTACATTATTGTCCATGCACATAGTATTACGGGTGTGACCATCAGGAGATATCCATGTGTAGCACCCATCTGGCTGCGAGCTTGTGCGTGACGTGATGTTTGGTGTCGTGGATGGTAAGAGAAAGCGTGGTCGTCCGAAGATTTCCTTTGCTGACAATATCGTTTCGTGGACTGGTATGTCTCTGCATGAGAATTGCCAGTTGGCATCTGACAGAGATGCCTGGCAGTCACACTCTGCATCTACTGCTTACACAGCTGCATAATGCCGTTTATTATTATTATTATTTAAATTTTACTATTATTATTTTTTCGGCAACGCAGATGATGATGATGATGATGATGATGACATAGTATTATAATTACATGTATAACCCAATACTAGTTCCCAATACTAGTTCAATACCAGTATTAGATAAACCTTGTTATAGTTGACTGGAGACAGAAGCGGACTTGGCTTATTTTCAGTGTATTCTCATGCATTGTTCTTTGGCCTTTGTACGCGTGCTGTGGTATTATTATTATTATTATATATCTCTTTCCCTCAAAACCAGTCAATATTATTATTATTATTATTATTTATTGTTATAGTTCACACATGTTGTTAGTTGTTTCACGCTGTCAAACTAACAATTATAATGATTGTACAGTCATGTACATGACATACATTAATTTTGTATTTGTAGGTGTGCATGAGTCATGATGTACATGTACATGTGCAATCATGATTGTACTAAATGGAAAGGCGACGCTCTTTTTTCAATTAGCGGGCCGGGGCGGAATACTATTTTTTTTAATTAGTTATTTCGACTACTATCATTTTTGTCTTGGTCAGTTTAGTTGGAACTCGCGGAATACTGTCTTTGGCTGCTACTGTGGCGACGACGTGTATAATGTACATGCATATGCAGGTGCATAGAGTTTCCCCTACTACGTGGGTAGTGTAGGCTACGCAGCCCTCACCATAAATATGGGGAATGACACTTACTTGCGATCATACACGACCAGAAAGACAGTAGTGTGACTGCTGTCCCTTTGTCTGCCACAGTCACAGTGCCAGTACACTGTACAGTATAATGTGTCCCTACCAGTAGAACTACTACTGTGCTACTACCGTGCTACTAAAGTTAGTACCCCTGCTCTGCGTGCGAATCCTTGTTTCTGGCCGGTCGTTCACAACAAACACGTTCCTTCCATCGCGAGTTGTCTGCTAGTGGTATGTCTATGGCAGGCATTGGACAGCAGGACACAAAGGTGTGTCAGTCCACTATGGATAGTTCTCACAACTTCTCACCGACTTCTATTCCGCACCGTCAGTCCGTCATACAAACGTAGGCCGGTGTCATCTCTGTTGTGTGTGAATGAACCTGCGCAGTCATAGCTTGTTTTTCTATGACTGTATTGTATTCATGTACATCTACCCTCAGGCCTCAGTATCTCCTACAGTACTATCTCTAGCGTGGCCTTAGCGCTAGGTGACAGCAGACAGGGGCAGTCGTGTGATGTTTGTTTCAGTCTGCGCGGATCGAGCACATTTCAATCGCTTTTCTTGGACTGTCAACCTTGGTCAACCAGACCCTTGTCAACGTCTGGCGTCTCACGCACGGGGGCGCACGGGCAGTCCGAAAGTGCGACCACGACTCGGCCCAGGCGCCAAGGCAAGACTGCAGTGGTAGACCTACTGTAGTACTCGCTGGTACTGGCCTGGTAGATCTACACACTAGGCTACAGACTGTACAGTGCACGAACTGCCCGTGTATGGTATGACTCTGTTTTATCATCGATCGATGCCGGCCTGGCCTGGCCATATTCGTGACTGGTTGACTGGTGAGTGGTGTGCGTCCAACTAACTTACTACTAGCACTTCTATCAGTGCAGAGTTTGATTTAGATAGTCGCTTTAACCCTTTAAGAGCCGCCCCATACTTGAATGCGTCGTAAACGACGCATTCAAATGCAAAACTTCAACAGATCGTAACTCAGTCCAATCTCGCTCAAATGCAGTGATCGAAATATCCAGGGCGAAGAGAAAACGCTCACCTGTCGGGAGAAACAATCCGCGAAGCGCTGCGAGCAACGGTTCTCGAGATATATCACTCGTAAATTGAGCCGCGATCGCGGCAATTTCAAAAGCGCGCAGTGCGACTTTAGTATTGAGAATTTTGAGACTTTTCGTCACGCTGGTTTACTCGGATTTGCACGGGTTTCACTGTTGATATTGTCAAGAGTACACAGCGAAAAAATTGGAACTCCACGATCGAGTAAAATGAAATATCTGGAGCGGGACGCAATTGGACGCATTTGGGGCATTTTTCGTACTGTCGCTGCGATCTAGCGCTGGATAGACGGTGTGCTGGCTATCATGATCAACCTCATTCTCTTCCTCTCGCGGAGACCTTTCCAGGAAGCCCTAGATTGTGAGGATTGAGTGAGTAGAACTGAAGCTATGATCCAAGGAACACGAAAAAATGCAGAATTTTGAAATTTTCCTGTGGCTCTTAAAGGGTTAATACAATCATCATGTAGATCTACATGAGTCATGACTACTGTCGCTGAGTACTGAATTTCTATGCACATCGCGTAGATCTACGATAGTCTAGACCAGGACCAGGGAGTCGTAAAAGCTTTTACGACTCCCTGGTCCTGGTCTAGACTACAGACGTGGGCATGGGAGGGGCAGTCACTCAGTAGCTTTGCATGTCCATGGCATGGGAATATGGAGCGATGAATCCGATGGTGGTAATATTACTACATGTACTAATAATTATAAGACAAGTCGAAGATTCAAGTATAAAAGAGGACACAAAACACGTGACTGTCATCTTTGATCTACATGTACGTGGTCTACATAATCATTGCAATCTGGCCATTCACATCCTCACTGAGAGTTATGTGAGATTATCATGCACCAACCATGCATTGGCATTGACAACCAACCACAAACGAGTTACGTTGCACGCACTCAAAACTGACAAAAGTCCAATGCACTCCAGTACGGCAGTAGGCACCCCTCCAGTAGTGGTGGCGAGTGGCAGGCAGCTGCACCTGCGTGTGACTGTGAGCCGGAGTGTGGCTGTGAACGTGAGCGACTGAGCTGAGCGTGCTGACATCTAGTACTCAGTACTAGTAGACCTACTTCTTTGTTATCAGATTCTTGTTTTTGGTGGTCACGCTTCGCATCAGCTGATGTCGGGCTGCCGAAGCGGACCCAGCGCCGAACCGGAGTTTCGCATTTTTTCTGTTCATTTTCCGTAGATGTATGTCTACGCGTGTGAACTGACTTGAGTGTGTGTGTCTAGGGTTCGGAAAACATTGGGCTGATCGGCACATCCTGTACGTCGTCACATCCGTAGTTCCTGAATGAATTCTTCGTGTAGAGTTGCCTTCTCTATGCTTTACAAACCCTAGAAGTTTACGACGTCTGTTGACTTACTGAACTGCTACATATCCAACCATGGCGAGCTCTGTGCGTAAAGACTCTCGCCTCAGAATGATTCAGGCCGCTCGCAAACCGAGCCTCAGCACGCGAGTGTCCGTGATGAAGAAAGCCTCAACGGTGGCTGTAGGTGGTCGCCCTCTGCAGCAGCGCATGTCCATGGGTCCGCGGACGTCGCGCGCTATTTCTCGTATCGCCATACCCAGACGGGAAAGTCGCATCACCAGAGGTGAGGTTGTATGGCTGTTGTTTTGTTGAACTAAAAACCCACGCGTGTAACCAGGTAACACTTGGTGCTGGTGCTCGCAGTCCATGTGTACTGCGACTACTACTAGTACTAGTATCGCATTATCCGGCCTGGAGATATAAACGGAGGTCGATTGCTACCATCTATCGATTATTTGTCCGGTACTAAGTTTTACGTCTGCGCGCATAGATTCTTCGCTTGTTACTGATTCTTCAATGTCCTTGTTATTTTGTCCACACTTGTACTTGTCAGTCTAGTTCAGTAGTTGTTCGGAATATTCATGGGGGTCATGTACCTACATGGCTGTACTGGTACACTCCGTGACCTGGTCTGGAACAAGATGGAGGTGTGACAGTGATGAGCAGGGCCTGCTGGAGAGCCGGGTCAGCCGGGTCACGCGCCCGGCTGGGGAACTGTACGACCTGGCTGAACAGATAACACCGGGTCCAGTCTGACCCGGCTGAAAAATGTCTCAAACTGACAATGGATTCCTAAAATACCGGTATTTTACGACTCGCGGACCCCATCTGTTGCAAATCTAGCGCAACCGTACACACTACAGTCTACAAGCGACAGAAACTCGGCTAGGGTCAACTGGGGTCAACTGGTTCGAGCGCGATCTAGCCAGGGGCGAGCAGGAAGTAAGGACATTCAAAGTCGATGGGGCAGGCAGTCAAAAGCGTAACTTTGGCTATAGCTTTTGACACAGTTGCAAGCTTTCAGCCGACTGGTGATTTGGACGATGGAGCCCACAGCGAAGAGAAAAAGAACTCACGCTTTCCAAGACTCTTGGAAGAAAGGTCGACCCTGGCTGGATTACGACCATGCCGCGCCAGTCTATCCATGTCATGCGCTTTGTGCAAGACGCATATCTAAAGGAAGACGAGCGGCGGTGGATTACGTCGCGATGTTCTCTAAAATTTCCGATTTCCGGGTAATAAATTCGCCTTTCTGTTTTCCTGCGTTTTGAGCAGCCTTTTTGGTTGTTTCTGCCGGATGATCTTACCCGGCTTGATCCGGCTGGCCTGCATGCGCCAGGTACACTCTGACCGGGCTGTGTTGAATGTCTAGAGCAGGCCCTGATGAGGTGTAGACAAGAAAGTCTCAGCTGCCTTTGTTTGGGTTTCGGCTATCGTGGCCCAGATCACCCGCGCGCTGTTGCCGTTCTGAGTTATCCGATGGTATGAACCATGCAGGCATGCTGCCTCTCTTTTGACCATCCGATTGCTCAAGTGCCGCTTCTTAGAAGTGCTGGCCTCTTTTGTGAATGTTCTTCGTATTCTATTCCTATTGGGTACCCAAACATCTCCATCGCATGTGCTATTGAAAATGAAAACAATGCATCCTGCAAGGTTGAAGCGATCGATCGAGTGACATCCTTTTTGTAGACCTACGGGAATTTTTATCGTTGCTTGGGTAAAATGGCCCTGTGCAGTGTGCTCGAGGTAGTGGGTGTACAAACTGGGAGAGTGAACGAGTTGCTTTCCGGTTGCCTTGTTTACCTGCGCGTGTTTAGCCTGTGGCTGTGTACGCTCTTCGAGAGGTGTGGCAAAATCACAAATTTATTATTTTTTGTATATCCTTCAGAAGTGTGTCCCCTGCCAGTTGGTAGCGACAGCTGCTCTTCTTCGCGCTTTACTGCTTCTGGTACACAGTTGTGAGTCAGTTGATGGGGACCTCTCCTCCGAGCTATTCATTTGTCCATGGCTGTTCAATATCGTAGGCGTAATCATTTAGGCCTGAACGAGAATATTTAAAATGGTTTTCAGGTCGTCGGTAACCTCCAACCTGAAAACCATTTCTAGCCAGTTGTTGCGTGCAGGATTGTTTTACTTATCTTGTTAGGTGGGTGAGTGAATCTCGTTGTGCACTGCAACTCACGTTTCTCTTGTTTATACTAGGCGGCAGGATCACACGTGCATTGTGTGTTGCTACTGCTACCATGCGTAAATCTATCTTGTACCTGTAGACTGTATTCAGAAGGAGTGTACTGTCATCAAATACTAGTAGACACGGATCAATCAATCAGGACCACGTAAAATCGCCTTCCAAGCATCCTTGCATTCCACGTGGCTACTGTCAGTAGTTCCCGAAAAAAATTTAAAAGCAATTTTAGTTGAATAAAGGAAGGACACAATGTTACGAGTTGTGACCAACTGTCCACCAATTATGTAACCAGACAATGTACAGTAAGCAAATGGGACAACAGGCAATTTTAGCTAGCCATATTCACGGCCGCATCACCTGACGTGCGGAAGAACACGTGAAGCGGAGACGCTAGCATCGCCTGGCCACTGAAGAAAGTTCAACTCCATCCTGTACGAAATCGATCTCCATCCGAAAATAATTTCTGCCAGCAAAGCCACCAATGTCCGGCTCTAGCAAGACAGTGCTGGTGTGTGCTGCAACGATAGCTCAATGATCACAGCTGTGTCTTAAGGTTTCATGTTTCCTAATGCAGAGATATGTATTGTTCTCACACAAAAATTCAACAGCCTGCAAAGCATGCATCACCCTGGCAAACACAGTTATGTTCAAACTGCATGAAGCTCCCATACATCACCCTGGCAACCACAGTTATGTTCAAACTGCATGAAGCTCCCATACATCACCCTGGCAAACACAGTTATGTTCAAACTGCATGAAGCTCCCATACATCACCCTGGCAACCACAGTTATGTTCCAACTGCATGAAGCTTCCATACATCACCCTGGCAACCACAGTTATGTTCCAACTGCATGAAGCTCCCATGCATCACCCTGGCAACCACAGTTATGTTCCAACTGCATGAAGCTTCCATACATCACCCTGGCAACCACAGTTATGTTCAAACTGCATGAAGCTTCCATACATCACCCTGGCAACCACAGTTATGTTCCAACTGCATGAAGCTTCCATACATCACCCTGGCAACCACAGTTATGTTCCAACTGCATGAAGCTTCCATACATCACCCTGGCAACCACAGTTATGTTCAAACTGCATGAAGCTCCCATACATCACCCTGGCAACCACAGTTATGTTCCAACTGCATGAAGCTTCCATACATCACCCTGGCAACCACAGTTATGTTCCAACTGCATGAAGCTTCCATACATCACCCTGGCAACCACAGTTATGTTCCAACTGCATGAAGCTTCCATACATCACCCTGGCAACCACAGTTATGTTCAAACTGCATGAAGCTCCCAGAGATACTACATGTAGGTTCCTTTCTTTCTTGACTTCTGTCCGCGCCAGTCACAGAAACTCGTGTCGATGCATCGAGTGAACCGATGTGCTAAGTATGATATTCGTATTATTGTCATTGAGTAAACCAAGATGCTATGTGTACATGTGCATCCGTACATTTGCGCAAGCAACATTTACTTTTCAAATAGAAGTGCAAGTTTTTTGTTGTTGTTATAATTATTGTTTAGTACGTGAACTGCACCGTAAAAATATACTGTCCCGAATGATCTATTGTATGTTTGGAGCATGACCATCGAAAATGTTAGCAAAATCGGAAGAAAGGTATTCTGTAGTTCAAGAAAGTGGATTGGTGATTGCCAGCATCACCTGATTTCTGGTGATTTCCGCGATGCTATGCAGGGGAACAACACAGAATGTTTGCATCATCTGTAATGAAGGTGTTGGGCTGAGAACTTGGCCAATGCAAAATTGAATTATGTACCCCACTATCATGAACATGCAGTACTGAAGTGTTTGGACTGAACAAGGGTATCCTAAGTATGATCGTTTGTATGTAGACTCAAACCACCCTCTTGTTTTGCAGCAATTATCACCCATTGAATACCCACACCCCTGTCAGTCCCAGAAAAATCAGATTTCAAGTGCTATCTTGTTTAGTGATGTTGCACTCCTTGGTGCACGGCTGCTGTAGATGCAGTACTTTAGGGAAAGCCCGTTTTACTCATTGTAACATTGCCATTGTGTGACTGCCAGTCCCCTTAGCTCCCTACTTGATCGCCTGGGGCTGATGTGCGGGCATGAGTATAGGCTGATGGCAGGAACGAGCACTTGTAGGTGGTACCAAAATATTTCAAGTTCTGCACAAGTGGCATGCATTAGCGCTTCTGGCATCAAGTCGGGAAACATGGTTTCTTTAGCTTTTCCTTGTTGTGACCAACGCCTGTGACCTCCGGGTATGCTCACTCTAGCGGTCTCTGTGTTCACAATGATATTAGCACAGGTATGTGTATGTGGGGTTTGTAACCTAGACCAGTGCTAACAGGATACAGTGGTCTAGCTGAGGGTATCTCATCCAACCATATGTGGACCTTAGAAGCTCCTTGCCATGGCTCGGTCTTCTATACTGCTCCGGCGGTCGCAATGTATTCCATTCTTTATGGTTGAAGTAGATATGTATGCACGCATCATGCTTCATAGAGCACGATTGTGAGAACCTGCAGCCAGCCTGTGAAATGCTGAACAGGCGAGTTGAGGGCAGCGATTTGTAGAGTGTTGCATCATTCCCACTTTCCTTTAACAGCTTCTGTTAGAAAAGTTCACTCGGCTCCTTGTATGCGTGAAGGTTATCAAGCTTGGATTCTATCCTTGCACCGAAACAATTCCTGTCAGGCTAGAACAAGGACTACTTCAATGAATCAGGAACAAAATACTGATATGAAGTCTTGATAAAATTATTAGTAGCGTGCGTTGAAACATGGCACCCGACTGCCGTTCCCTGTCCATCTCAAGACCACAACTTCACAGCTCTGCCACTAAACTGCTTCTGTGCGGCTACTGGAAGCAACAGCATAGGGTGATCATCGGCGCTCGTGGAGTGTTGGGACAGAGGACACAGCTGTGCAGCAATGGTGGGGTGTGATTGTGTGCAAATGTATCCGTTTTGCATTTGTGTGTGTGTGTGTGTGTGTGTGTGTGTGTGTGTGTGTGTGTGTGTGTGTGTGTGTGTGTGTGTGTGTGTGTGTGTGTGTGTGTGTGTGTGTGTGTGTGTGTGTGTGTGTGTGTGTGTGTGACTGTGTGCGTTGTTCCTGGTGTTGTCAAACCTCACGAGGTGTTCTATAGAGTCACAAGAGCCCGTAGACCACGGGCAGACATATGGTGTTTGGAAATAGGCGAAGTTGTGCACCGAACGAAGAGTGCTGAGCCCAGTGAGATGGAGCCCATACACGCAGCAGGGAGAGAGGAGCTTATAGCTACAACCCTTCTGGTTTTATGCTCTGGGAGATCTTCAGGCTAACTATACATTGCCTCGCCTCTCTCCTTTCTGAGCGTTGTGTCGTAAACAGCGGAATTCAATTTTCTAAACTTATGTCCATGTCCAGAAAAGAAAAAGGACCAAGGAACTACAAGTTATGTAGAGAGCGTGTGTGGGCAGGCGTGTGTTTACCGCCATATTGCCAGATGTGTCTTTACCACCATATGTATCAACCTTATGTAATCATGCTATAATTCTATTGTCCACTAACACCACCGGCTACTAAACAATCAGGTCATGTGATAAGTCCATTTATGGAAGTCCGGTCGATTGACCGGGGCTGGAGCCCTCAGGGCGTACTGAACGCTGCGTGCAGGGTGCACACTCATGTTGATCCGATGCGACCAGCGAGCTGCAGCGCATAAAATGCATGTGTGTACAGTCCATTCATAAAAAGATGGGCTCTGGCTCTGGCGAGCTCCCGTATTTGGCGTTCATCGTACACAGTGCAGTGCTGCGAAATTTGAAATTTGAAAAAGGGTCCAAAAAGGGTACCCGAACTGGGGTTCGAACCGCACAATGCACTGTTGCAGACGGGGTCAAACGGCCTGGATTTTTATGGTTTTTCCCAATTCAATGCTTTGGGGGCAAAACCTGGCCGAAATCCTATTCTTGTTATGGCTTGCTTTTTGGAGAAAAAAACTTCAGAAACATAATTGGAAGAGGATTCCATAGAGGATTGCAGAAAAAAATTCTAAAAAAACTCAACGTTTGACCCATTTATGGCCAAAAGCTAGAAGTTCATATTTTTCTGAATGGACTGTAGATCTACCGCTTATCCACGGCTGCACGGCCAGCGCCCTGGCGCCGCTAGACGTGCGGCCGGATTTCCACGTCCACAACAGTACATGCACATGCATGTTAAACCTTGCTACATGATAGAGACCAGGATGATCTCAGCAGCTCATGTTATTGTTGATAGGTAACAGGTAGCTATGTCATTATCCGTGGCAGACTCTCTGCTAGTGTTGTACAAATCCTCCTACTATTCTCTCTCTCATGTTGCCCCGAGATCTGTCGGTGCATAGTGATCTGATGCTCATCATTCGCTCCCTTGTCACTGGACAGTTCGTTTGGTTTTGCGAATTCAAATAAGAAAAACCACAACAACGATAGACCTGTGTTCACTGTGTGTTTTGTGTACAGAGAACAAAGCCGAGCCGGGAGGTGTGGACGCACTCGTCAAGGCCATTCGCTGTTTCCCTAGCAACGAAGGTCTGATAAGAGAGTGCTGCGGTGCTCTCGCATCATACTCACCCAGCAGTAAGTGTCCGGGTTTGAATATTTGATTTCACTTTGGATGTGATCTGGGTTCCGGCGGCACTTCTTAGTGGCAATGCCCATTGGGTTAGTTTCCATAGCAACTTCGTCATACTGGTGTCAGCTTTAGTATGAATGGGTGGGTTACCAAATCTGTCAGCATTGGACTGCGTCAATACATGTTTTAGTTTCCATTCGATTTTCTTACCTTCTGTAGATGTTGCGTTCACCTCTAGTTACCATGGCAGTGCTATTGAAATTAATCAGACTCTCATTCTACACTGTAGTCACAGAGCACCCTGAATCTCCATTGTGAGAAGATGCAGGCTCTGTTTCTGGAACGGAGATGCGTTGGGCTGAGTCACATGTGTATAAGATGTCTCTGTCCGCATGAACATTGAGCACTCTCCCAAGCTGGAGGACTCTCAATTGGAGAGTCTAGTTCTATATATATAGTATGGTAGAGGATAGGTCATTGCCGTTGGAAATAGCTAGTCTTCTAGTATGGTGATTCCACGGGTATTAATCATTTCCTGACTAATACAAGAAGTTGAAAATCATGGAATACCCGTGGATGATTTAACTCGGATACTGAGCCAGTAAGAAATGTAAAATAGAAGAAAAACTCGGGGGAACGAATTATGAAGCAACTATCCGCAACTGAAACAAGACCATAAGCAGTCAGAAAGTGTTATAACAGGGCACACAACTGACAGGTTACGGAGGCATTCAACGACCTGAGACTTAGCTCTAACACATCTCCATTGCTCAAACCAACAGCCTTCCAACTTGGAAGGTTCAAGGTTAGGTAAGCCCGAAGAGCGGAAGCTTTGGTCCTACCTAACCGTGAACCTTCCAGGTTGGAAGGCTGTTGGTTTGAGCAATGGAGATGTGTTAGAGCTAGATCTCAGATTTTTGGATGTCTCTATAGCCTGTCAGTTGTGTGCCCTGTTATCGCACTTTCTGACTGCTTATTGTCTTGTTACAGTCGTGGATTGTTGATTCATAACTCATTCCCTAGTGTTTTTCTTCAATTTTCACATATCCGTGCATGGTTACAACTTATAACCAAAACATTCACGGTTCCCCGGCTCAAATGCAGCTACTAAAGCGGTGGGAGCTGAGTGGATCAGCCCACTAGGAAAGTGATGAAGACCGAAAACCCCATTCTCTGCATCCATCGCAAGCTGTTGCGCAATGCACGATAACATCAAAATTGGTAAGGGGCTTTGCACTATCCATGTAAGGCAGTAGGAGTCATTATTCCGCCGTATTCTTTGCAAAAATGTTGTTGTCTGCGTGTCTATGCGTGTGTGCATGCATATGAGTGTGCGTGTGTGCATGAGAGAGTGTGTGTGTGTCTGTGTCTGTGTGCGCGCGTGTTTTCCGTCTGCTGGTCACCCTATGCAATGTCCTAGTTCTCTCAGAATGGGAGTCGGTGCGGACGGACGCCATTGAGGTTCTATCCAACGCCATGACAACATTCTCCAGCAAGGATGACCTGATACTGGCAATAGTGGACGCGTTGATACATCTTGTCACGCTGGAAGAAGGTAACTGTCTTGCCGTTTTCCATGGCTGAGGACCCTGCTCTATTGTCTATTGCCATTTGCCTTTCAGCACCAACACTCGGCAGCTTGACGTTCTCAGTGTTGGTTTTGTTGGTTTTCCGAATAGCAAATGGACGTTGATCAAGAAAAGACTGTGATGTGTGAGGATATCCTGTGCACCGGTCATGTCCGCAGGTCTCTTTCTGTTTGTTTTTTGAATGAGTTTGGACTGGTTTGTATCATTGTGACAAGAGCTTTCCCATGAGCCCAAGATCGTCAAAGTCGGTGCTGCGGTAGAACAGGTGTTGTAGTGGAAACATGAACGAGAGTGACTGTAGTGTCACCTATTACTTGCCGTCATTCGACCAATGGATTTCCAAAGTCCTAGGAGGTTATGCGTGTTCAGTCCCTACCTGGTAACCCGGAGTTCTTGGACTTGTAGCTGTCAAACTCAAAAACCATGGCAGTACGATCATGACATGTTCAGCAGTTGTTTCCCCAGTTGCCCTGAAATTGTTTCTTTGCATACCAATGTGTGTCTGTGTCTGTGAATGTTGTGTGTACTTCACAGAAAGTCCCGAGAATATCTGCAACCTGCTCGTGAAGAAGGACATTGTGCGCCGATGCTTGGTTACCATGGAAGCAAACAGCAGCAATGTGGCCATGCACATCTCCTGTTTGAGATTGATCGGCTTTGCAGCGCTGTCTGGTGAGAACTCCACCAGTGTTCGCGGTGCTTGGTGCCAGCCGGGTTCAGTCGAGATTATTGTGGGTCATGGGATTTTGTCAGCTGTTTTGCAAGCTGACCTGCTTTCAGTTCATCGCTATTGCTTCTCTCTGTGGGCTGCTCTGATTTCGCTTCACTTCTGTTCTTCTTATCTTTGGGTTAGTCGTGTATGATTCGTGTTGACACACAAGAAGTATATGTACACGAAAGTGGCATTATGTTCTATGATTCACCTTGCTGACTATATTCGTGCACTTTCTTGCTGCTGTAGATGCGGTAACCGTCGACATCTGCAGCGCCGGTGCTCTGGACGCAACGCTAAAGTCCATGGAAGTGTTCTCCAGCAACAGTGAAGTCCAGAGCAATGCCTGCCTGGTGTTGGGAAACCTTTGCGTCAATGGTCAGTCAGCAACGAGTTACGTCATTTTGTCTGAACATGAACAATGTTCTCTCCAGTCTACTGTTACATTCAGAACATCATGCAGATTGCGCCAAACGTTGGAGCTCACTCTTCCTCATAACTGACTATAGCCTAGAGCACATGAGGAGAATGGCGTGACGTTTGCAGCAGCCACATTTTTCTAAAAGTACTGCCGAAGTCGCGGCATCTCAGTTCGTAGTGCAGACTGCATATTTCAGTTTTTAATGAGTGCTTTCTTTTCTGTGTGACTGTGCATCTGTGTGGCTGTGTGACTGTATGACTGCTCATCTGTGTGGCTGTGCATCTGTGTGGCTGTGTTACTGTGTGACTGCTCATCTGTGTGGCTGTGCATCTGTGTGACTGTGCATCCGTGTGACTGTGCATCTGTGTGGCTGTGCATCCGTGTGACTGTGCATCCGTGTGACTGTGCATCTGTGTGACTATATGACTGTGTGACTGTGTGGCTATATGGGCCGCAGTCAGCTAAAACATGTCTTTGGGGTTTCGTAATTTTTCCAGACATGACGGAATGAAGAATTGTTTCTGTCGAGCACGTTCACTCTGTGATTCATTCATCAACCATTGGCGTGAGCGTCTTGTCGACTATGGTCTCACACTTACTACCCGGTCTAGTCCAAGCAGCTGGCGAGCAAAGTGACATTTTTTCTGGAATGCATTTGTTCACCCTAAGACATGTTTTGGCTGGCTGTGGCCCATATGACTGTGTGGCTGTGCATCTGTGTGGCTATATGACTGTGCATCTGTGTGACTGTGTGACATGTGTCTGTGTGGCTGTTGTGTCTTTGTGACTATATGACTGTGTAACTGTGTGACTGTGTGGCTAGACGATGTTGCCGAGCAGGCTGACAAGAAAGGCGCGTCGTCTCGCATCCTGAACGCCATCTCCCAGAACCGCGACAACACAGAGCTGCTGGACAGCGCTTGCCGTGCGCTCGGATCTCTGGCCATGAACCGTATGTTACTATATTGTTGTAGACACTGCACATACTGCACATACTGTCACTGCTGCCGCTGCTCCCTGTTGTTGGAATTGCTTTATACAGGAAAACGTAGTGTAAGCGACCTCTGGGTTTAGCGACCACCTGCTCTTAACGACCGTTTTTCCATGCACCGACAGTTCTATACAGACACTGTGGGACCTGGTTCTAAAGACCACCTGGCTTTAACGACCGCTTTTGCTTGCACTGTCCGTGGGGTGGTCGCTTAAACCAGGTTTAACTGTAATAGAATTATAAACGGGCCGAAAGCTGCTGCTTCCCCTTTAGGTACAATGTACAGTCAAACCTGTGACTAACGACCACCCCTTGGGGCCAGAGAATGCGGTCTTTACTGGCAGGTGGTCCTTAGTTAGAGGTTTGCACCGCACAACCATATTATGTGAATGGGAGACCGTCCGTGCGTCCGTGCCTGGCAAAGTGTTCTCTAGCACCCAGCTGGTCGCTAGTCACGGTGGTCTTTTAGTTACAGATTTTACTGTATGTGCGTTTTTAGTTCATCAATATTCTTTTAAAAAACCTTATTGTGATGGTGCTTGGAGTGATGAGTTGTTCATTATTATTATTATTATCAAATTTTTGATAGGGCAATCCCCACAGGCCTAAGGCCTTCTTACAGGGTACCCTTACAATAGAGCAAGGAGTGCTAGTCAGCTCGGGACCTTTCCGATTCACTGTTTTACTATCTTCATGCTTTTTGTAGCCTGGTGTTATACATACTGACGTATACAATACAGGTCAGCTCGGTGAGGATTTGTACTGACGTTACGACACATCTCATGGGCGTGTGTATTCACGTGCGTGTGTGTGTATATGTGTATGTGTGTGTGTGTATGTGTATGCGTGTGTATATATGTGTATGTGTGCTGCAATCCTCGATTGGCTAGGGTACCCCGTAAGGAGACTATAGGTTTGTGGGGACTGCCCTAGAGAAATATGAATAAATATTATACTATACTATGTGTGTGTGTGTGTGTGTGTGTGTGTGTATAATTATGTGTATGTGTGTGTGTGTGCTTGCAGATGACCTGTGTATGAAGCTGGTACGTACCGGCGGCATCGATCTCGTTCTGCAATTGATGACCTCGCATCCAGACGAAGAGAAAATCCAGGAGTGTGGTTGCTGGGCCCTGGCCTGTTTCTCCAGTCACGGTAGGTAACACTCCAGTAACGGTGGGTGACACTCCAGTCACGGTGGGTAACACTCCTGATGCTTAGAAACGTCCTCCAGTAACCGCCGGAAGCAATTCTTGATTGGTCCGGTAGTTCCATGGCCTTTCACGTGTTTTGTGTATGATATGGTGAGTACATACACCCTCCACAGTAGTATACACATGTTGGTGGCCAACACGTTGGTCCAGTGATAACCTGACCGACCAGACTGGTTCCAGTTGGCCTGAATCTAGTCTGCCAACTTAGCCCGCCTGTAATAGTCATTCATGCTTGGACTTGATTGGCAGATTTTGACTTGATCGGCAGGTTTTGACTTGCTCGGCAGGTTTTGACTTGCTCGGCAGATTTTGACTTGCTCGGCAGGTTTTGACTTGCTCGGCAGGATTTGACTTGCTCGCCAGGTTTTGACTTGCTCGGCAGCTGTGTTCAGAAAGGTGGTAGCTTTGCGCATAGTCCGTGCCACCCTACAACCGTGCTGCCAGTTCTTACCCCCCCCCCCCCCCCCCCAGCGACTTGAATGATGACGTTCTGTGCATCTGCAATCTTGTCCACTGTGTGTTCCCCAGCGTGTACCGTATTACTTACAGCCCAGTGTGTGTGTGTGGGGGGGGGGGGGGGTGTTACTTGCATCAGCCCAGTGTGTGTATGTGTGTGTGTGTGGGGGGGGGGGGGGTGTTACTTGCATCAGCCCAGTGTGTGTATATGTGTGTGTGTGTGTGTGGGGGGGGGGGGGGGGTGTTACTTGCATCAGCCCAGTGTGTGTATATGTGTGTGTGTGGGGGGGGGGGGGGGGGTGTTACTTGCATCAGCCCAGTGTGTGTATATGTGTGTGTGTGTGTGGGGGGGGGGGGGGGTGTTACTTGCATCAGCCCAGTGTGTGTATGTGTGTGTGTGGGGGGGGGGGTGTTACTTGCATCAGCCCAGTGTGTGCATGTGTGTGTGTGGGGGGGTGGGGGGGGGGTGGGGTGTTACTTGCATCAGCCCAGTGTGTGTATGTGTGTGTGTAGGGGTGTAGAGGGGGGGGGGGGGGGGTGTTATTTGAATCATATTGACTGGTGTCTTAGATTATAGAGCGGTTAATAGACGGTGTCCAGATTTTGGGGTGGCCGGGAGGTTGGACAGTCTGGTGTTGTCTTGCTTGCAGTTCTTTACAGAGTGTGAGCTAAACTTTGAAATGCATAAAATATTCATAAAAAATCGCCCCTGCAGCTTTGACTCCGAATATTGCACGTCCATTTTACAATCGCTCAATGAATATATTGCATGTGCGTTGTTATAGAATATTGTGGTGTGTTGATTGCGGTACAGATGATGCTGTTAGTAACGTGTTAGAGAGAGGAGGCCTGCAGCAGGTAGTGACCACAATGGACAGTGGCTATCTGAGTGCCACGGTGCAGGAGTACGGATGCAGGATTATAGTCAACCTCAGCATGCCTGGTGAGTGCAGTGCTTCAGGCAGTGCTTCAGGCAGGGCTGTGCATTTCCCCCTTTCACTATTCTAGGTCTTGATATACATCACAAGTGCACACACACTCTCTCTCCTCTCTCTCTTCATCTCTCCCTCTCCTTCTCCCTCTCTCTCTCTTTCTCTCTCTCTCTCTCTCTCTCTCTCTCTCTCCCCCCCCCCCCTCCCATGGTGCATCTTGGTGGCCAAGAAGTCAAGGCCCCATGTCAGCGGAGCTCCCTAAACCTCACCACCACTGCCACAATTCATGTTGTACATGCTTCTCCAGCTGCATGTTTGGCATTGAAGTGGTTTCGTGAAATATAAATCTAAAAAACTTCATGTACTTGAGCTCCTGCCGGTTTTCATACACACGAGGGGCATGGCACACAGTACGGTCACACCGGTATTGACCGTACCACTATTCGCCCCAAGTACCCCGTGAATCAATAAAATGCACTGATTTGGGCTCTAAATTTCCTAAATGTTGGGCTCGACCACCCCTCCCACACGAGTAAATTGTACTTCAGATGGCTGACCGTACCACACCAAATTACCTTCCGACGCCCCTGCACACCGTACATATACACCAGCCCTCGACGGAACTAACTGACACGCAGTCGCTGGGACTTGCTGACATGCGGTAGACATGTTCTAACTCTCAAATCTGGTCTTTCTTGGGAAATATTCCTGCGGTTTTTTTTATGGTCGAGTCAATCTCATCCAATCAGTTCAGAACAGACTTTTTTTCTTTCTGTTCTTACCCTGATGTTGGGCCAAGGCTGAACATTTTATAAACAGTTTAAAGTGACGTAAGCATATGTAGCAAAGAGAGTGTATTTGGAGTGTTTAAGTTGAGGCACCGTAATGAGTAAATGGCTGCAGTGGAGTCTGGGGGTGCTTGGGACAGAGCAAACCTCTGTGTACTTCTAAGTATATACTATAATTATAGGCCTGCGCAGCCAGCAGATTCACTTCACAATTGGGACGATACGTGTTAAATGTCACACCCCGGAGTGCCTTTGCCGGTGGATTCATGCAGGTCTGATGGTATTTTCTTTGTTGATTGTTGTTTTTAACAGCCGGCCAGGAGGATGTAATCAGCAAGAAGGAGGTGATGGATGTTCTCATTGCAGCCATGGATAGCTACGACAACAACGTGGCGGTCAACGAACAGGCAACGTTTGCGTTGAGCAAGATCCTAGCCACCAATGGTACGGCGGTGTGATGTTGGTCTGCTAAGTGCTTGATCTGTTTTAAAAGTGATGTTGAAGTGCTAAGTGCTGTTGATCTGTTAAGTGCTGTTGGTCTGCTGAGTGCTCACATGTCCTTGCATGTTTTAGTGACGAGATAAGGCTTTTCTCACACCCCATTTACTGACAGGGGAGTTGTTGGCCTTTATCAATGCTGGTTTGGGAGCTTGCACACCATTGTGAACCTGATGAAGGCAATTTGCTGAAATGTTGGAATGATTATTGTGAAATGAGTTGAACTATTGCAGTGTAAATGGAAGAGAGCGTGTAGGCTCTACTCTGAAATGATAAGGCTTATCGTTGTAGTCATCTATGGTTTTCACGACTAGAGTGAAAAGCGCTTGAACATGGTGACGTTAGGAATCAACAAATGGCATTCTTGCTCTACATATACTGGTATAGAAAGAGAGGCGTGCGCAACAAGGACTACAGCACACGAATTCCGAAAGTCAGCCACAACCAGATGCACATAATAATTATTGCTCTCTCTACGCTCTCATATCTGTCTATCTATCTATCTATCTATCTATTATCTGTAAGGCCCACAAGTAATTAGTTCATATTCATTTGTTCATGCATTATTCATTTGTCCTGGGTAGCTATTTGCGCACCCATGTTTGCCCATAGCTACCCAGGCCCTTTATATTGCGTTGCTCTCTCTTGTTGTTGTTGTTGTTGTTTTTTATTTGAATTCACAATACCATTCAACTCTCTCTCTTCAACTCGCTCTCTTCAATAATCACCATGTAGTCGTTTCGTTCGTCCTGGTCTTAGTCATCCCGTTCTAATAAATGTCTTATGTTCGGACCCAAAATTAGCGCCCAACCGTGGGGCTCGAACCCACGACCCTGAGATTAAGAGTCTAATGCTCTACCGACTGAGTTAGCTAGTATCTATCTATCTATCTCTCTCTCTCTATGCTCTCGTATCTATCTATCTATCTCTCTTTCTTGCTCTCTCTCTCTCTCTCTCTTTCTCTCAATCTCTCTCACTCTCTCTTTCTCGCTCTTTCCCTCTCTCTCTCTCTCTCTCTCTCTCTCTCTCTCTCTCTCTCTCTCTCTCTCTCTCTCTCTCTCTCTCTCTCTCTCTCTCTCTCTCTCTCTCTCTCTCTCTCTCTCTCTCTCTCTCTCTCTCTCTCTCTCTCTCTCTCTCTCTCTCTCTCTCTTGCTCTCTCTCTCTCTCTCTCTCTCTCTCTCTCTCTCTCTCTCTCTCTCTCTCTCTCTCTCTCTCTCTCTCTCTCTCTCTCTCTTTCTCTCTCAATCTCTCACTCTCGCTCTCTCTCTTACTCTCTCCCTCTCCCTCTCTCACTCACACAATCTCTTTGTCCTTACGTCTGTGACATACAGAGCGGCTGCAATCAGAGTTTGTTGAAGCCGGCGGTGTCAAGCTGACTATCGATGCAATGAAGCATTTCCCGGAGAACGAAGGCGTGCACGAGAACGGCATTCTCATCCTCGGTAACATTGTCATGGAGGACAGCGCCAGAACTACCGTAAGCCACACTGCCTCTACCGTACTGCTATGAAATCAAAATCAAAGTTCCAGGAATTCACCCAACAACTTTGCCTTGAAGTGTGTACGACAGTTAGAGTGAGCGCGCAGCTGATCCTTTTTGTTTTGCTATAATTGTATTTAAAAATTAATTAAAAATTAAGATTTACGGAGACTCAGCCTGACTGAGTTTTCCGTATTCACAGGCCATGCCAATTCTCGTAGAAGACACGATGAAGTTCGAAATGCGGAGAACGCCGTATAATTGAGAAATGGAGATTTTGTGTAATCAAAAGATCCAGGGCACATTCAGGGAAAATCTAACATTCAAAATCCAACTGGACTTACTTCAAAACTGTGCAAATATAGATTTTGATGCAATGGGCACCTAAGCAGTTACTGTTGTTCCAGAGTGATTCGATCTGTTGGCAAAGGATCAATGAAGTAACCTGCTATCAATTCAGCTCGTTCTGCTGTTTGCTACATCTAAAGTGTTGTCTCTTGGGACCTGTTTCCCGTACTTTGCATTCTTTTGTACGGGAGAATTTTAAAATTCAAATTTTAATTCGTTGCGCAGGCCAGAACACGAGGATTTTTTCGATTTCGCGCACGCGCTCGCGCAGGCAGGTAAACGTCATCAAAAAATGTGGAGCACGACCACGGTGCCGCGAATGGCGAGTGTCGTGGAACCGCGCTGCTCCGCTGCATACAGCCAAGTGCCGCGTAGCCGCAGTGGAACCCGGCCCTTATCATTGTTTTTTAAGGCGCTTATAAAAATGGGGATGTGTGTGTGTGTGTTTTGTGTGTATACATGAGTGTGTGTCTGTGTTTTGTGTGTGTGTGTGTGTATGCGTGTGTGTGTGAATGTGTGTGTGTGTGCGTGTGCATGTGTGTGCTCGCAACTGCAGGTTCTTGAGTTGGAGGGACTGGAGACCATCCTTCAGACAATGAAACTGGACACATGTAGGGAGAATCTGATTCTCCAATGCGTCGGATGCAACACTGTTGGAAACCTTATAGCGGAGGGTATGTTAAGAAAGGTCACTTTTTGGATGAACTGACGTCGTTATTTCTTTGCAAGACCTATATCGTCAATGGTCAGAATAAGACTGATATCGCAATTTTGTCCTGTGTCTTATGTTGTAGGTTCCCTATCGTCCTGTTTTTGTTTTGGTAGATGATCAGCATAACGAATGATGTCATCATTTTGTCCTGTGTCTGATGTTGTACATTGTCAGCCTAAGGATGATGTCATCATTTTGACCTGTGTCTGTTGTTGCACATTGTCAGCCTAAGGATGATGTCATCATTTTGACCTGTGTCTGTTGTTGCACATTGTCAGCCTAAGGATGATGTCATCATTTTGACCTGTGTCTGTTGTTGTGCATTGTCAGCCTAAGGATGATGTCATCATTTTGTCCTGTATCTGTTGTTGTGCATTGTCAGCCTAAGGATGATGCAATTTATGTCATCATGTTGTGCTGTGTCTGATGTTGTAGATTGTCAGCATAAAGAGACGGTGGTGAAGCAAGGCGGCTTGCAGGCGGTCATTGGAGCCATGAAGGTCTTTGAGAGTAATGATGAGCTTCAGGAGTGTGCGTGTAGGGTGCTCGCCTACCTAGCATCGTCAGGTAAGTGTACTACTGACGAAATGCTCCACCTTTTTCGTCTCCCACTCCCTCCTTTCTGATGACCCTCAGTTGTTTAGTTTCTTGTTTGACCCTCTTTGATGGTTTACATTGTACTGTTGAGGCAACAAACTAAAGTAAATCCGAAAACCGAAAAAATAACTAGAAAAGACAAAAAAAACTGATTGAGAACCCTTTATAAAAAAGGAAATTTCCCCAGTTCTCTCACTGCCTCACTCACTCGTGAGAGAAAATGATTGTTGTGACCAGTTGAGAAGTTGCATCACTGAGCTCAGCATGTGCTCCTTATTGTCTAATTGGTCTGCTTCTGGCACTAAAATGTTCTTTGAAGTCAAACAGGAAGAGTTCTGGAGCAGAAGTAGTATCATTCTAGTTTGTACGTTGCCAGCAAGCCTCAGTGTGTGCAGCTACTACTGTGCCTGATTCATGTGTGCACATGCTTATGTGTGCTGTGTGTTTGGGTGTATGTATGTGTGCACACATGTATCTATGTCTGTTTGTAATACAATCTGTGTACAATGTGTACATGTGCGTGCTTTTTTCAGAATCCCTGCACAGTGACTTGATAGAGTCTGGATCAGACTCTCTAGTTCTTCTGGCAATGGAGAAGCACACAAACAACATAGACCTCTTGGTAAGTTTGCATTCATGTTCAGTACTGTTACGTACCTCCTCCCGTACGTTCTACAACCTTTTCCAAGCTGGCCTGCATGCACCCTCGTACTCACCTTTTGTCTCCTTTCATCACCTTTTGTTCTGTTGTCCTGGGTAGCTACTTGCACGTCCATATTTGCCATACCTGCACAGGCCCTTTATCTTGCCGCCCTCACTCGATCTCGTTCTCTCCCTCCCACAATGTAGTCGTTTCGTTCGTCTTTGTCTCTGTCTCTTCGTCTATAATAAATGTATTCCCAAATACCCGTTGCCATTGTCCGTTGTGTCTGGGAGTATGACTCCTCTTCCTACCCAACAGTACCATGCCACTGCTCTATCTCTACTGGACTGTGGTGTGCGGATAAACCATTACTGTGTACAAGTATGTTTGTATGCCATCACTGGGTATGGTTGCAGGGACGTAGCCAGGATAGTGATCAAGGGGGAGGGGGGGGGGGGGGGGGTGCCACGACTTTCCCCACACAAAAGTACATGCACTTATGTTGGTCCTTTAATGCACATTATTCGATGCGTGAAATGGGGGGAAGCAAAATTCGCCCCTAGTTCGACGCTGAAGATCAATCAGTGAATGGCAAATCTCCGACCAGGGAGTAGTAATAGTTATGGTATTTTACTACACCCTGGCCTGCTTCCAACTAATGATGGACTAAGTCCTGGATGCTGCTTTCTGCAGAATTATCTCACTCTCCATCGAACTTTTAAAGTGGGATTTCTCGAGCCATGTTTCCTCTTCGTCATGTTTGATAGTGCAGTAAGGCATCCTTGATCAAACCTACACTATTCCCCCCAAAAACACAAACTGCACTTCAACGTTACTTTCACTCTTCTACTGCTGTATCCACACTTGCAATGCATGAAAGAAACTTTGCCTTTCCACAACGAGACCAATTAACATCGAGAACTACATTTACACACAACATAGCGAGAACGAACTGCTATGTCTGACGTGTGCTTTCCGGCCGTAGACCGCGTTGCTACTTCCTTGGTTCTACCAATGGCGTGTTTGTATGATTCTTTTCTTCTAACAAAACATGTGGAGTGCGATGCAAATCATGTGCTGAGCCTGCTGAGGCCTGATGTGACACTGCACAACGGCAGGTACGAAGCGGAGTTCCCTTGACTAGAAATTTCATTGCAAAATGGCCAATCATGAGACAAAAATTAATAGTTCACTGCATGTGGATTGGTTTCAGATACTATAGTACATTGTACTTGCAGGTCTGAACCAGGGAGTAGTAGATCTACCTACTACTCCCTGGTCTAAAACAGGGATGGCTACAGTGTGCGATGTGCAGATTTGCGCATGTGATCAGCGGGTCTGCTATGGTCTCTCTTGAACCAGCTGTGAACCAAGATCGAAATTTTTGAGGGGGGTGCTTTGGCACCCAAAGCACCCCCCCCCCCCTGCCTACGCCCCTGGGTTGTATGTCATTTCTGGGTATAATAATTAATCTATTATAAAAACTATCTATCATTTATGGGGCGAACAACTTTAAAAGTAATTTCGAGGCATTCTGCAGCTTCATCCGTAGAGAGTACTAGGGTGGACACACCCATTCCCACAGCACTGCAAAACCAAACCAATTCCTTTTATGATGAAGAAAGGAAAAGGACAAAATGTTACGAGTTATGACAAACTGTCCACCAACGTAACCAGATCTTATACAGCCAGCAAGTGCGACAAAATGGCACAAACTATCATAACTATATTGGCTCACCATCCGAGTTCAAATTGCTTTTATGTAAAACCTTTCGGCAAAACTGCCATCGTTAGGTACAAAATGAAACAATGATGCCATGCAGGATGCGCTTTTCAAAAATAATCATTTTTCCTGCCTGCTTGTCTTGACCTGAAACTGTCTTTGTGTAGTCTTCTTCATGCTAGCAGCTTAGTGATTCCACCTTGGCTTGTGTATGTGTGTGTGTGTATTTGTGTGTCCTTTTTTGAGTTTAGGAAGCAGCCATTCAAGCATTGCAGATGCTCTCACCATCCAGTGACGGTGCATCATGCTCGGAGGCGGTGCACTGCGCCATCAAGCAGACAATGCTCTGTCTACAGCAGCACCCGGAGGACGAGAACGTTTTCTCAGTGGCGTGTCAGGTGAGCTGCCCAAACCTGTAGACAGCAAGCTGTTTCGGCCATAAAGGCCTCTTCAGCACAGCTACGAGCTTTATTTTATTATGCCGAGTTGCCAGGCATGGTGCAAAGGTGGCACCACAGACATTAAGGCAACCCCTTGCTCTAGTGCCAGAGATCTCAAACAACAAAAGGTAGCGAGCGATGCGTAATGCAGCAGGCACTAAAGTGAGCTATGTGGAACTTGCGAAATCATCATTACTGCTCTCATATCTCCTGCGAGATTCGAAAAGCAGGAATGAATGACTTTTCAGGCAGTTCACTTCCCTGACAGTTCACATTATTTGAATTTGGAGTTCTCCCATTCGTTTCCAAAACAAGGTTTCACTCATAATTGTAACTTGCTGTGTTAGTGTTGATAAGGCTACACTACACTTAGTTATCTAACACTACCACAGTCTACCACAGTGTACCACTCTCGATAACAACTCCTTTTCATAGCAGCAATCGTGCATCTGGGATGCCCAGACTTCAGTGTTGTAATCCGTTTTCTTCTCTTCATGTATGTAAAAAAGATCTGTATATTAGTTTTCTCTGTTTTCTAAACGCTCATTGTCATCCTCTTTCCAGCCAGTATCCCTGTTAACCCAGGCTGCCTGTGTGCATGTGTGTGTGTGTCTGTGTGTGTCTGTGTGTGTGTGTGGTGTGGTGTGTGTGTGTGTGTGTGTGCGTGTGTGCGTGCGCGCGCGTGCGTGCGTGTGTGTGTGCGTCGGTTTTCCACATCACAGGTACTATCTGGCTACGCCCTGTCGCCGTACAGCCACCATTGGATGGTGGAGGAAGGATTTATCAACGTTGTCGTTGACCGTCTCAAGCAGTTCAGCAAAGCGGCCGACATTCAGGGCTATGGCTGCCAGCTGCTGGGACTGTTGTGTTTCACAAGTGAGTAATGACCTCATGGCATCATGCCCTCTTCCAATATAACATGATGACAGGAATTGTGTGCCGCATCGGGCATGGAATGTATGCCAGGCTGTCTTTGGAAGGTCCTTGACTATACACTCATGTACTTGGTATGCGTAGACCCTGCCATGGTGTACGCGGTATGCGTAGACCCTGCCATGGTGTACTTGGTGTGCGTAGACCCTGCTATGGTGTACGCGGTGTGCGTAGACCCTGCTATGGTGTACGCGGTATGCGTAGACCCTGCCATGGTGTACGCGGTATGCGTAGACCCTGCCATGGTGTACGCGGTATGCGTAGACCCTGCTATGGTGTACGCGGTGTGCGTAGACCCTGCTATGGTGTACGCGGTATACGTAGACCCTGCCATGGTGTACGCGGTATGCGGAGACCCTGCCATGGTGTACGCGGTATGCGTAGACCCTGCTATGGTGTGACCAGGGTATGCGTAGACCCTGCCATGGTGTACGCGGTGTGCGTAGACCCTGCCATGGTGTACGCGTTATGCGTAGACCCTGCCATGGTGTACGCGTTATGCGTAGACCCTGCCATGGTGTACTTGGTATGCGTAGACCCTGCCATGGTGTACGCGGTGTGCGTAGACCCTGCCATGGTGTACGCGGTATGCGTAGACCCTGCCATGGTGTACTTGGTGTGCGTAGACCCTGCCATGGTGTACGCGGTATGCGTAGACCCTGCTATGGTGTACTTGGTATGCATAGACCCTGCCATGGTGTGACCAGGGTATCCTAAAAGCATGTTATACATTGCCAATTGCTACGCACCAAATTATGATTCGATAGCATTTACGGTCTACTCTCGAAAATTCGCGCACCCGATCTTGGAGACAAAATAACGCAACATTTCCCTTGTGCACCGCTTTAGGAGCTGCAGCTGCGCCTTGATCCTTGAAGGGTGGTGGCGTTCCTACGGATGCGAAAAACCTGGTTTCCAGCCGAGTCTCACGCGAACCGTGAAATTTGTTTCCCTTGTGCGTGACTTAAAAGGGCGTGACTTATCGCAAGTAGACCGATCTTGGAGACCCAATGGCACCTATGCATAATTTTCCCGCGGTTTTTTGTGCGGGGCAACTTCACAACCTCGACACTGTACTTGCACCACGCAGCGCAGCATGCAGTCTCATGCATGCACGCGTGGAAACTCTGATGATCGTAGAGCCCTACGTACCTGCTTCGCGTTTGCTGAGGCTGAAGTACAATGTACAAATTTTTTTCCTTTGTGTTGGTGAAGAATCAAACTCAAAGCAAGACATTTATTTCCTTCTTGGAAGGCAAGGGTTGTCACAGTTTGCTGTTGTGTATAAGTAGCAAGTTAGTTAGAGATCAGTAAGCAGCTGACACAATCATGCCAAGCAACGCTCATTGTATCGTCCCTGGCTGCTCAAATCGTAAAAGCAGCTGCAAGTTTGGTTTGTTTGAAACTGATGATGCGAACTCGCAAGGACGAAAAGTGTTTGTGAAGCGTCGTCTATGTGGATCAGATCTGGCTCGTGTTGGCTGCGGAGGAACAGCAGAGGTCTGTAAAGCTGTATCTTTTCATCGTTTGCCTAAAGATTCGGATCGACGCCGGCATATCAGGGCCGAGTGGCTTGCCAAAATACCAAGAGTCAACACTCCTCTTTCTGGAAACTCGTATGTCTGTGGGGTGCACTTTCCTGGTGGTCGACCTGTGACGGAGGACGAGCCACCTTCCCGTTTCTTGGACAAAGCCGTCGTAGTGAAGAGGAAGAGCCGTGTTTCGACAGGCGAAGTCAGTCGACCCGTTGAAGCGATTGATATTGATGACGATGTTGATTTACCAGTCACAGATGAATCGGTGCCTGAGGCTGCAACACTTTTAGCTGACCATGATTATGGTGAAGTTCCCGTTCTCCAAGAGAACAAAATAAAGACTTTGGAAGCACAAGTGGCTAAGTTGCGGTCCCAGTTGGAGCAGGCCTTGTACAATTTGGATGAATCGGAAGAAGCTTTGCGGAAATGCCAACTCCATTACTCGAACATCCGACATGACAACAAGATTGTACTGTTTTACACGGGCCTGAGTTCTCTGGCGTTTGACTTGTTGCTGGATCAGTTGCGGTGTGGATGTCAAGACATGTGCTTTGCTACTAAAGTGCCAGCTGATTTCCTTGGCCAGGACAGCCGTGGCAGACGAAGAGCATTGGTGTATGAAGACGAGTTGCTATTGACCCTTGTCAAACTTCGGCATGCTTTCCCTGAGTCAGATTTAGCACTGCGATTCGGAATAGATCAATCCACGGTGTCCCGAATATTTTCAACGTACATTCGTTGCATGTACTTCTCTATGAAAGAAGTGGACATTTGGCCGAGCCGGGCTCTGATTGATCGCTACATGCCCGACGTCTTCAAAGACAAGTACCCACGCACCCGGGTAATTATTGACGCAACAGAGTTTCCCATTGAGAAGCCAGCCAACCCAACTGTACAAGCAGCCACCTGGTCGAATTACAAAAACAGGAACACTTTCAAACTGTTAGTTGGTGTGACACCTACCGGTGCAATATCGTTTCTGTCTCCTCTTTATGGCGGGCGCATTTCTGATAAGAAACTGACAAAGCGAAGTGGGCTAATGAAGTTGATGGAGAAGGGTGATGCCATCATGGCCGACCGTGGTTTCGACATTGCCGATCTGCTACCGGAGGGTGTCGATCTCAACATACCCCCGTTTCTTGGTTCTCGAGATCAGCTTGATGAAGAAGAGGTGATCGAAACTCGGCGTATTGCTAGCGTGCGTATTCATGTGGAGAGAGCAATGGAAAGGATCAAGAACTTCAGGATAACTCACTTCTTATCTTCCGTGTTGTGCCCTTTGGCTGAGCAGATCATATTTGTGTGTGCATTCCTCACTAACTACATGGAGCCCCTGGTACCTCCGCCTGTTAGTAAGCCATCGACACAGTCTGCACACTTTTCCTCTGCTGCAGAAGTTGCCCAGATATCACCAGATGCAAACATTTCTGCAGTGGCTGTTTCAGCTGGCACATTTCTTTCACCTGCCATTACTGCTTCTGCTGCTGCTTCCGCTGCTACCAAGTTGTCATCTGCTGTAGCTGCTACTTCTGCTGCTACGAACGTGCCATCTCCTGTAGCTGCTACTGCTGCTGCTATCAGCGTGCCATCTTCTTCTGTAGCCGCTGCTGCCTATGTGACCACTCCCGTATGTTTGTTTTGCAAGCGCTCAGATGGCCCACTTCTTAGAGTTTGTAGGTCTTGTAACTCACGCTACCACCATATGTGTCAGAATGATGATGAAGATGGGCGTCTATGTAATTCTTGCTTTATGACCAGGCCGCTCTGTTGAAAGCTTTTTGCGCATGCCGATATTCCTACGTGGCCTCGGTATTTTCTTCCCCTCTTTTCTTTGTGTTATGTTGTGAGTAATGGTGCCCCTACACAATGATGCTTATTTCACTCAGGACTTCGTACTTCGAAGTAGAAGTAGTGATGCTCCTATTTGTCTGTTTGTGCTGTTCACCAGGTAGGAAATGTGGCCTGTGACTGCTGCAAGTGCCGCTTACTTTGAAGTAAATACGAATACTCATGTAACGTTCATGCCTTTTTGAACTCCGTTGTAACACGGAATGGCGAGCTATTGTAAACCAGTTGTACGTGCCGTTTTTGTAGTGGTTACCAGTAATGGCAGTATAACTTACTATAACGCACTGTTTACAGCAGAGTTCCACCGTCTTGGGTACATGTATACAACACTACCTAATCATGTACAAATGCAGGAAGCCGGTAGCTGATGGAACTATCCACCATCTAATCACGGCGTTTATATCAAGAAGGAGCTACAGAACAGGGCAGAACAGAAAAAGCTATAATAAAGAACATAGAGTGCAGCGTATAGAACAGTTCAGACGCACTTACAGAAGAAAAGATTGCCACAAATCAGGGAAGAATGTAAACAGTCAAGACTACAGGAACTGGAGCAAAGTGAGCAATGGTCATCTCAGATGACGAGGAATATATCTATTACCAAGAAACTTGATCACAGAGCCAGTTTCGGGAGAACATGATCAAAATAAAATGTTCGGCAAGCTGCGAGAGTTTTCTTGACATGCACTTCACAAAATGAAATGCGCTCAACAAAAAGATCATTGCAGGGAGACCACACTACAAAGTCACAAAATTGAAGGCCTGCAGCAAAGAGCTGCATTTGCACTTGTGTATAGTAGGCATGTGTTGTTTTGAGAGAAAGCACACCATCCTTGTTGGACAAACAAAATGATGCAGTAGACCCAGCTACCTCTGCTAGACTTTGGTCTCTAGCAACAAACGGGCATTTAATCTCGAGCAAAAGTGATGTATCACCATCCCTAACAATGCCATCGGGACTGGCACCAAACCAGCATTCATCAGCATGCACAAATAAGCCACATGCAACAACATCTATCAGCTTGCCAGACTTGGCTTGGTGGGCTACGTAGGCACATCGTGCCTCTTCTTCATGATCAATCCCCCATCTGGTTGCAGGAGTGGTGAACGCCGGCCGATCAATGATAGTTTTTATGAGGGATGACGGGTCAGTCTGAGGTCGTCGATGAGCTACAGTATGGGCAATGGAAGCTGTAATACGCTTCTTTCGTTCATTCCTCCAGAGTTCACTTGTTGTTTGGGATGCAGTGGCTTCTTGCAGGGCATTGGCTTCTTCACAAGTAAGTATGACATTGGACTCGTACCACAGCATCTGCTTGTCCTCAGTTAGCCACTCGCAGTCAGATGGCACAGGTGTCACATCACCTGATCTGCTGTGCTCAACCTGCCACTTGTCCTTCTGTTCCCCTGCCCTAGCCAGTCTCTCCTTTTTCTGCGCTTGGGCTCTGTGCAACCTGTCCTCCTTCTGCTTAGCAGCAAATCCTGAGCTACCAGCAACAAGAGGCAATGCTAGGTGGATGGAGTTGGAGTGAATGGTTGAGTTGGCGTATTCCTCCACACGCCGGGCAAAGTCCATCCGCTTTGCAACAGCACGAGGGTCAAGTACTTCTGCAGCAGAATGCTTACGTTTCTTTGGCGCAGATTTGTCAGTGGTACTGCCACCTCTACGCCACTCCATGTCTTGAACCAGCATGGGCTCACTCTTTTTACCTGCACCTGCAGGAGGCTGGTTCCACTTTTGCAGCATGTCCGTGCACGTCGGAGCGTCACTAAACCCAAGCAGAGTGAACTCGGACAAGCCATACATCAGTGCAGCTATATGCTTGCAACTGGCAGTAACACCCTTGCCAGCAGGACAAGTGCACTGAGCACCAACAACACTGGTGGCAGATCCTGAGTCACACTGAGCAACGAGCCGAAGTTTGTAGTCAGCTTTGGTCTTCATTTCAGGCTGACAGCGGGCACGGTAGTACACACGGCTGTGGGCCTTCATCAGTTCGATTTTCTGGACATAACCTGCTCGATACAGACGAATTGACTTGCTATCAGTGGCAGCAAGCGCTTTGAAATTCTTGGCAGGTCCATCGCTGGTCATAGTGTCCACGAAATAAGAAACCATAGTTTGCATGGAGAACGACAGGGAGAGTAGCCTTCCACTCGCAGATTTAATCGGCTGCCACCCAGTAACAGGAAAATCCAGAGGGTCGTGGGGAATAACAGCAAGCGCTGCAGCTGGCGGAGGTGGCCCTTCCTTGCCATCACCGTCGCCTTCAGAGAAATGCTGAGCAAGTCTGTAAACGACACGAGCAGATAAATAACAAACTCAGATTCACAAATAATTTCAAAAAAATAAGATTTTGTTGTGGGAAGAAAACAACTCACCTCGCAACTAGATCGGCTTTCTTTCCCGACTTCTTGAGACCATACTCTCCACACTTCACCTTCAGAAGGTTCAAGGTGAGCTGGGAAAAATCCTGACTGACTGCCATCTTCCTGTCAACTAATATCGAAACTGTCTTCCACTGCAACGACTGAAAACAAAGGAGAGCCTCGCGTCGAGCAAGTTGCCCCGCACAAAGGTGCGAAGTCGCGATGGCGACCTGGCCGCCATGTTTTATGCATAGGTGCCATTACACAAAATTCTTCCTAGTGCATGACTTTAAAGTTTATTTTATTTTATTTGTTTATATACTATGTGCACATCCCTACAAAGTAATAGGAGTAATAAAGGAGACAAAGACAAAAGAGAGTGTGTGACTTATTGCGAATAGACTCTATGTGATCAGCATAATAGACTCTATGTGATCAGCATAATAGACTCTATGTGATCAGCATAATCCTTATCCCTCTAGTTCTCTAACCGTTCTGCCCTTCTCTGATGTTTGTGTGATCAGGTGAACTTTGCCAGAAGCTTCTCAGCGCCGGCATTCTTCAGCGGCTCTGCGTTGCCATGGAGACGTGCGCCTGTGATGTACAGCTGCAGATCACGTGCTGCGGCGCACTGACCTGTCTTGTGTCGGAATGTAAGCCACAGTAGGGTAGCCCATGACTAGATACATTTCAGAAAACAAGGTTTTTTTACGCGATATAAATCCACTGATAGTTTTGAATTTGTCATGCACTCCAAGGAAGCCATTTTGCGTGTGAGCAGCAGGCTTCCTAGCAGTGCCGTAAAGTACCGCAAGAGCGCCCCACTTTCATGTCCTTTCGTCTCTGTCTTGTGGAGGTGGTGTCCTGTCTGTCGGTCATACGATGCAGACCTTGTGCACACATTGCACGTGGTGCCGTCAATCCGTACTCTGTTTACCTTCAGGCCGATGCCATCTCCACACAAACACATGCCAAGTGTGACCTTAGTACACTAAGGCTCTTAAGCTGTACAAACTTAGTGGCACTCTGCCATACGATTTTCTTTCCCTTGGCTGAAAAGTCAAGGTGGGGCGCTCTCGCGAGACGGGGCGCTCTCACGGTACTTTCCGGTACAGATATTCGCTGTCCTTGTGTTGTGCTTTCAAGCTTAGCATGGTTGTCTGAAGGATTTGGTTCAGTCGGATGTGATGGTTAACTTGGAGGTTGATGGCAAATGACCTCCCTTGATCTCAGACACAGACCCTTGTTCTATGCAACTAGATAGTTTGTGAAAAGAATGTATGAGTGCCGCCGGAGATCCAGGATTTTGATGATGTGAATATACCTCGCACCATGCTGATGGTTTCCTGTCTTACGTTCCGAAATTTGGGTCATGGCTCCTTATCTTCCTCTGTGTCAGGCTTCCCTGGTCCGATGCGTTAACATCTATGACAGCGATTGCAACATGAACTGTGGTCGTCTGTACACATGTATGTCCATCCAGTTAGCAATTTGGCTGTCAGTCTGTTCCTAGGTTTGCATACTCTATTGTCAGTCTTCTACTGTCACGGCCATTGAAATCCGTTGAAAATTCAATTGGCCACGGGGCGATGGCCTTGCAGCCGTGAGCACTGCTGCTCCCTGCTCTCTATGATGTGTATATGAATTACTGTGTGTGTGTACGTGCTAAGCCAGTATGGCTGCCGGGTCCGGTTTGTCTACCGGATTTCAATGTCCACGACAGTAGTTTGGCTATCACTTTAGCTTGCTGCCTAGACAACGTGACAGACGACTATCAAAATATCTCTCTCTCTCTCTCTCCCTCTCTCCCTCCCTCTCTCTCTCTCTCTCTCCCTCCCTCCCTCCCTCTCTCTCTCTCTCTCTCTCTCTCTCTCTCTCTCTCTCTCTCTCTCTCCCTCCCTCCCTCCCTCTCTCTCTCTTCTCTCTCTCTCTCTCTCTCTCTCTCTCTCTCTCTCTCTCTCTCTCTCTCTCTCTCTCTCTCTCTCTCTCTCTCTCTCTCTCTCTCTCTCGCTCTCTCACACTCTCTCTTCACATGTGTATCCCAGGCCCCAGCCAAACATTTGAGCTGCTCGCGCCGACATCCTTCTCCAAGCTGATCGTGGAGGCGATGCGTAACCATAGCGACAACATGGACCTGCTGCTGGCAAGCTACATCGCCGTCAAGTTCCTGGCAGGAAATCGTACGTCACAGCAACTGCTGTATACTTGACTGTTCTAAGAATATGAGTGTGTAATTGTATGCATATGCCTGTAGGCGTGAGAGTGCAAGATCAGCCACACAGGACCACCCTGCTTGGTCCGGTAGTATCATGGCCTTTCTTACATTTTATCACTCTCTTAGTATTGACTCCCATTGATTTTCGCTATACCTAAGCAGTCAAATATTCCTGCATATTTCACTCCTTAGGGCTATATTGACTGCATATATTTGACTGCTTAGGGACCGTCCGGGGTTACCGATTGTTTTTACAAAACGAAAAGTTTTAGTATTTTTCAGCCCCCACCCACCCACCCACCTTTCCTGCAGGTAAAACGAATTCTAATAAAATATTGATGTCAATTTTCGACACCCAAAAGTAACTGGGCATTCTCCATCTGCATTCAAGAATTATTTTCAAAACCAAACTCCTTCAAACCCACCCACCCCCAAACGAAATCTTTTCGTTTTGAAAATATTATTGGTAATCTTGGACGGCCCCTTAGGGGTTGCGCAGTTCAACGGTGCCTAGTGCAGCATTATTGTCACTGCATGAGTAGGTGGTGGTGCAACGGTTGTGCAATCAGAAAACCAGGATTCATGAGGTTATCATTCTGGAATTTGAAATACGGACTGTTTTGTCGTGATAAATCTAATATTGACTTTGTACTTGGTCCGTATAGGAAATACAACCTCGTACTCAGTCAATATTAGATACATAAGGCGGGTGGGTAGTAGTGGGCACACATGCCCTCCACAGTTGAAACAGGTGTTGGTGGCCTATAGCCTAGTATAGGTTAGTTCAGTTATAACTGGACCAACCGGACCGATTCAGGCAGGTCTGATCATGTGTATGCCATATGGGAGGGGGAGAGCAAGGCAAGGGGGGGGGGGGGGGGGGGTTGTGCATGTGAAAAAGGGCAGAAAGGAAGATGAAACCGTTAGAAAGGAGCCCTCCTGGCTCATTGAACATGCAATGTCCACGGTCTAAGTAATGTCGTTACTGGCATGAATGTACATGTGTGCTCGTATGTGAATATGTTTGGGTATGTGTGTGTGTGTGCGCGAGCGCGTGCGCGTATGCGTGTGTGTGTGCATGCATGTACGTGTTTCTATGTGTTTCTGTCCGTGTGTGCGTTTGTGAATGTGTTTGTGTCCTCAGCATCCACTCGCAAACAACTACTGGACGACGATGCGGCCTCCGCCATTCAGGCAGCGCTGAGCAACTTCCCGCAGCAGGAGGAACTGCAAACGGAAGCGGCGGAGGTCCTACGCAAACTGAAGTGAAATATCCCGCCAGACGGCCGACTGTGCAAGGCTGGGTCCTTACTCGTAACGATATTGGAATTTTTAGAGTCGTGTATTCCACGTGTGATTGCCATGCGGGTCATGGTCGTTGCTTTATCTAGAAAAGTCTACGTAATTATTGTGCAATGATAAACTCATTTTTCACGGATAGTTTTTGGATTTCTTGCGTTGCACGTGCAATGTCAGTGCGCCATTGCTTGTACCCTCTACATGGACATTCAATGAGAATGTGTGTGTGTGTGTGTGTGTGTGTGTGTGTGTGTGTGTGTGTCCCATATGGTGCAGTGGTATGTGCAGCGATTTCCAATCGATAGGTTGCGGGTTCGATTCCCGACGATTATGGTCACACACGTCTTTCTTCTCTTTCTCAGACTCTTCCTGACTTTTCTTTCATTCTCCTGGGTGGTTACCAACAGCCAGTGCATGCCGGAGTATGTGGTGTGATGTGTGTGCGGGAAAAAAGAAGAAAAAAAAAAGACCAAAAAGTAGGGATTCACTGGCCAGAAAAAAGCCACTTCAAAGCTGTGTGGTGTAGACCAGGCTGAATAGTGGTGGTCAATTCTTCAGCCTTGCAAGCTGTTGAATGGTGCAATCCCAGCACAAGTTGCTATGGCTTCTGCTGTAGCATCGCTATCATCGCCTCTGGCGATGGGCGTCCAATGGTCAATGGTGTGTGTGTGTGTGTGTGTGTGTTTTCCTACGTATGTCCGATGGGTTAGTTCACCCATACCGTATTGATTATGTTGATATTACCTGATTTCTCTAGTCGCGCTCGTGACCAGCCTGTTGCGGTCTTGGAGCGTAGGTCATCCCTGTTACCAACTCTGATCACTGCAATTGTGACGCAGTCGGTGTGGAGGGAGAACTTTTCGTATCTGCATGTCGGTCGCGGAAGTTGATTGCTGACATCACCAGGGTTTTCCGCACATTTATTTGGTCTGCAGTACCATGCGACATTTGAACACATTACTGGTTCTTGTTGTGCAATGCTCTCCATGCATTCTATATTTCTCCTTTCCTTCCCTATATTACTGATGGATGTTTTAGTGACTGTTGCCTTTCGCATGTGCTATATGTATAGGTTGGAAGAAGTTGATGCACTTATTGAACTTTTCTTATTAGGAAATTTTCTTTTTCACAACTTTTCTGATCCTGGATTCTTGTTAAGACTACTGTTTCGTGAGTGTGTAGATCTTGTGGCGGCTGCAAACCGTGCCTGATGTAGCAGGAGCAAGTGAAAGGCTTTTATCGTCATCAGATTGTGGTGTTCTTGATTATCCTAGCCACAGTGTGGCGGCTGGATTCGAATCGGGTCATTGTTGCACAAGAAGAATCCACAAGAGGGAGTCGAACCCAGGGGCCCCGTCTTTCCGCGGTGCCGATTGTAAGTCACACCTTTTTACACTAAACCTCAAGGGCAAAGAAGGGGTGCGACTTACAATCTAGTGAGACTTCTAACTTATGTGAATGCGTTGAGACGATTTGGTTCGGACGTGAGAATGGGCTGCGACTTCTAATCAAGTGCGACTTATAATCGGGGAAATATGGTACGCTTCCTCCATGGGATCACATCAACCCGAGGCAATGGCTCGAATCCCTCGACCCTCCGTGCCCCGCGAGTAGCTCCGGCGGGACGGCACAGCCGGTTGTGTGTGTGTGGGGGGGGGGTATGGGTATGTGTAATCCACGGTACTAACACAGTTGGCACCGTCCCGAAAGCGCCGGTGCTGGATTCGCCCCCCCCCCCCCCCCTCTCCCCATGCATCCTTTTTCGCACTCGCATCAATAGCAATAATCTCTAAAATATAATTTTTGGAGATGTGTGCCAGAAATTGACGATAAGAAGAACAGCTTCTGTCAAATATCACTGAAAACTAAAGACAAGTTACAAAACTACGGTGAGGAAATATTCACCAAACAATGTACATGTAGCCGTTCTCTTGCCAATGGGTAATAGCAATCTCCTGTAGATTATGTGAGTTAAAAACGAAAGCAGCAGTATGGCTATTCTGACCAAGACTCTTCCCACGAGTCACGCTTATAGTAACTATTCTTCCAGCAAAAAAAACAATTACAGAAAAAATCATCAAATACGGTTTTCTGAAAGAGAGTAGGTTAGTTACCATTGTCTCCGTTTCCCAGGGAACTGACGACGGTCGCTAACTCCCGCAGATCACCAACAATGGGGAAACAGGACATAATATATCGAAGCAGTCAAGACCATGTTCAAAGTGAAAATAGAATCGTAAATACTAGAGAGCTTATCAAGAGACGCAAATGTCCTGTCCTGTTGCCCAGTTGATTCATATAATTATTCGTACTCAATTCAGCACAGCAGAAAGGTAGGTTCTTCGACAATAATACCGGTAAGTAAAAGAAGATGACAAGTAGACTGACATAGAATTGCTCTCATCTTTAGCGGACAATCACCAGTGAAGAGCTGCTCACAATCAAAATAACGGATCTACTTGACAAAGCTGCGATGCATGGCATGCGCCCCATGGAAGCATACAGCTACCGTGAACGAACGGTCTACTCGATACTCCTTTGGAGAGGAGAGAGCAGTGCAAGGTGCAGAAATACCTGCAGTTAGTTGATGGAATACCTAAAAACCACAAGAACACCACCAACACCAACAAGAAGAAGAACGAAAACAGCATGAGCAGCCAAGCAGAATAAAGCAATGGGACATCAGAGTCACTGTACATTCTGACACCCCTGTTCTGCATAGCAGATGAGGTGCAACTTTCATCGGATAAAACATTTCCCAACGCAACTTTTCAAAGAATTCCATATTGTCGCAGAGCCGTTCAAACCGGAGAAATTGTTACTTTTTTGGAATCGCAAATTTCCACTGAAACACCAAAGATACCGGATCATACAACTAGAGCTGTCATGACGGACCTGTACAAGTGAGATGACATAGAATATGACCGTGCAGTGATCACCAACTCTTTCCGTACAGTCAACTTTGCGTATAACGACACTTGGCGGGGCATCAGAAAAGTATCCTTATTCGCGAACTGTCCTTATACCCAAAGTCTCATTATATGTATTACAGTTAGATGGGACTTTGCTCTGGGCATGGAAATTCTATCGTTATTCGCGAATTGTCGTTATATCCGCAGTGGTTACTGGCAAAGTTGACTGTACGCGCAGTGTCTGGACGGCTGTGTGAGCACACGGTGTATCTGTGTACCTGTGCAAGCACATGGTGTATCCGTGTACCTGTGCAAGCACACGGTGTATCCGTGTACCTGTGTGCATACCTGCTGTATCCCTACAGCCGAGTACAAAGTCACTGTGTCTTCAAGTGCTGTGTGCGTCTGCTGATGTGTCCTTACCACTGTAGCTGATTATTGATTGAAGTGGCATTTTCTGGCCAGTGAATCCTTATTTTTCATTTTTTTCATTCATTTTTCTTTTTCGACACACACACACCACACTAGATACTCCGGCATACACTGGCTGCTGGTAACCACCCAGGAGAATGAAAGAAGAGCTAGGAGAATGAGAAAGAGAAGAAAGACGTGTGCGACCATGATAAATAAACTGCTGACGACTATGGTCGCACACGTCTTTCTTCTCTTTGTCATTCTCCTAGCTCTTCTTTCATTCTCCTGGGTGGTTACTAACAGCCAGTGTATGCCGGAGTACGTGGTGTGGTGTGTGTGTGTGCTGAAAAAGAAAAAGAAAAAAATAATGAAAAAAGAATGAAAAATGAAAAATAGGGATTCATTGGCCAGAAAAACCACTTCAATCAGCTATGTGGTGGAAACCAGGCTAAAATTAGCGGCGGTCAATTCATCAGCTTTGCACGCTGTTGAATGGTGCAATCCCAGCACAAGTTGCTATGTCTAACATAGCTGTTTGCTATCATCGCTTCCGCGATGGGCAGGCCTGAGGTATCAGGTGTCCTTACACGCTCCTACAGCTGTGTCCAGGGGCATATCCTTACCCACTGTGTCTGCACATGCTGAGTTTGTATAGACCTGTTTGTACACGCCACTGCACAATGTGATGCTGTATCCATATTTATACTTCCCATCTAATCAACAAACAATCATTTATCAACTGGTTAGGTTCTAGTATATACATTTACTTGAAGTACATAATATTCCCACCGTACCTGCCACTAGCATTCAATATTCCCACCGTACCTGCCACTAGCATTCAATATTCCCACCGTACCTGCCACTAGCATTCAATATTCCCACCGTACCTGCCACTAGCATTCAATATCCCCACCGTACCTGCCACTAGCATTCAATAGCATGTATCTCCACGGTGCGATGACGCCACAGCAAGAGAATTGCACGACGAGGCAGAAGAGCAACTCCATGAACTGCATGACTAACATCACCATATAGCAGATTGTCAGATAGCGTAACTCCGATTCCGATGCGTCTGTTCAGAAGAGTGAGTGAGTGAGAGAGAAGAGAGAGAGAGAGAGAGAGAGAGAGAGAGAGAGAGAGAGAGAGGGGGGGGGGGGAGAGAGAGGGAGAGGGGAGAGAGAGGGGGGGGGGGGAGAGAGAGAGAGAGAGAGAGAAGCAGAGACAGAGAAACAGAGAGGCAAAGCGAGTGAGAGAGGGAGAAAGAGGTAGAGAGGCAGACAGAGAGATTAGCACTAACCCTCTGAATATTAGACCGCTACCCATTGAGAGCAAAACTGTGTCTCAAGCAAGACACCAAACATGAATACATGCACAGTCTGGTGTTCATCTGGTATATCAACAACGTTTCTCGCGGTATCAACACCACAGCTACCGTACTGTCGGGCGTCGAAGAACGGAGCGCCGAAGAACGACCAGGCTAGAATTTCACCAAGCACAGCATGCCAATGTATACACGGTGACACAACTGTGCATAGGCTGTCATACATGAAAATAAGAACGGTCTAGACTAGAAGGCTGACCCCCCCTCCCCCCCCCCTCCCCCTCCCCCCCCCCCTCCCCCCTCCCCCCCCTCCCCTATCCCCCCCCTCCCCCCGTTCTTTCGCCGACAGCCAGCACTCTACACCATTCTCAATATGTTGAAGAAGAAATCTGCAGAGGAACATATAATTTTAATGAGCGTTAGCATGCTAACGTGAGTTAGCAGCCAGCCCAGCGAGCTGGCCCGAACTGCGCGCATGCGCGAGTCACGTGGGCACGCGCCCTTCAAAATCCTGTACAATGTCTCTTGCATGTCATTGGTGTTTGGACATTCGAGCGTGCAACTTGCGGAACATGTGTTCCCAAAAAAATAGCCTTGTAATGTTTTCCCTGCATGTGTAACCCATTGTTATTGTGTGTAGTGTTGCCGAGGACTGTTCGTGTGTTACAACCCATGTTATTGTGTGTAGTGTTGCCGAGGACTGTTCGTGTGTTACAACCCATGTTATTGTGTGTAGTGTTGCCGAGGACTGTTCGTGTGTTACAACCCATGTTATTGTGTGTAGTGTTGCCGAGGACTGTTCGTGTGTTACAACCCATGTTATTGTGTGTAGTGTTGCCGAGGACTGTTCGTGTGTTACAACCCATGTTATTGTGTGTAGTGTTGCCGAGGACTGTTCGTGTGTTACAACCCATGTTAGTGTGTGTAGTGTTGCCCAGGACTGTTCGTGTGTTACAACCCATGTTAGTGTGTGTAGTGTTGCCCAGGACTGTTCGTGTGTTACAACCCATGTTAGTGTGTGTAGTGTTGCCGAGGACCGTTCGTGTGTTACAACCCATGTTAGTGTGTGTAGTGTTGCCGAGGACTGTTCGTGTGTTACGGGTTGAAGGTGTTGCGAAAAGTAGGGGTGATCCGGATACCCGGGTATCCGTCTGCTTAGCTGCTGATCCGTTAGCAAACGAGTACCAGTTAGTCGTGTACGACGGTGCGGTACGGTATTATTAGCTGCTTTCTGCAGTCGTACAGTTCGATGTACAGTTTGAATGAGTTGTCAGTTGTTCGATCTTGCTTCATATGACAATTTTGACTGTTTTGCGTGTAGCGCAGCAAGTGTGCATGCTGCGCTTGTCGTGATGTAGTACACTTGCTGTGAATTGCATGACATCGCTTGCCCTCCTAGCATGAAATATGGAAGGCTATTGTATAGTAACTGTCACTATTGGCTGCTAAAGGGTACCCGATAACCCGCCCCTTTAGCCAGGTACCCGTTTGTGACCTTAAATCGGTACTCGGTAAC